TTAATGGAATCGTTATGCAACGGTAACGCCATTATATAAAGACAACTAATGGGGGTACTACAAATATAATATCTACAATCTCACCACAACTACTGATACAGTATTAGAAAGATAACACAATATGCGTTTTAGTAGTATTAACACTGCAAATAGAAATATTGCTTGTCCCATCCGACTGCCTGCGCCAACTGAACCAAGAGGGCCGCTAATCGCGACCATAGGAGTGGCCCACTGGCCAGTCCAAACGCCACGACCACAAAATAGGTCGTGCCTGGTCGTGCCCTCGGCCTTCACCATGACGTGTTTCCGCGCGACCTCGATGGGCTCGTCCGTCTGTCTCAATTCTTTCCATTCTGCCGCCACATCGCTGATGCGTGGCAACGCTACTCTCTGTCGTATGACCATCCAATGACCAGAGGATGTAGATCTGAGCAGGATGCCAGGCCGGCAGGACACAGACCTGGGCCTGGCCATTACTGACCTCCGACAGTCTACGACAAGACGTGTTTTCAAGGTGCCATCCCGGGTCAAGGATGCGCCACTGCCATCCACTTCCGGCATAGTCCACCACCTGCCATGAGTTGTTACTGCAATAGCAACAATTCGTAACTGTATCTAAAGCCTTCATTATCATTGCAAGAGTAAGAATATGGTAATTATAACACGGTAGTAAACAACATGGGAATAAAGCAAACAAGTGGTAATAATATCATAATCATGATGCTGATATTACATGCCTCGATGTAAACTAACGATGGCCAATGCAATACTAGTCATGTAGTGGTAGTATAATGATTATATAGGGTGACAAACCATTAATATAATGGTTATACACAAGTAATCGTAGGTATGTAGGCAGGACAACCCATTGGCAAACAAGTATGGGTAAAACCATGGGGTATACAACAAGGATAGATAGCCAGAAGAAACATCGTAGTACTGCTTGTCTCCACAAGATATTGGTTGTACCAAGATATAGTGGGATGTAATGGGTTTATCACAACACATGGGATATATGATGCTCATTGGGATCAACAATGCCACATGGGGATTAAAGGGGGACACTGCAGGGTACAATTAGATATAATAAATGGGAGACATAAAAGGAGCTGTATAAACATGAGTATATCCCATGTACTACTGGTTAGTCAACTGATTCTACAGGTACAGTTTCCTTTCAAACCAAGACATTCAAATGTGTGGATAATCAAAAACAGGGATATCATCAAGCAACGGGGATTTAACCAACCATGCATCCTTTAAGAAAAAAGGCAAACCATGTGTCTAGTCAGTGGAGACAAGATTTTTTGCTGGTTTGAATCGAATGTCTCTGACCTTTGCTGTCTAAACAGAAATTCAAGCGCCTTAATTGCCAATTGGTCCGCGTTTGGGCCGTGCAAGGTGATGCCCCCTAGGTATAAGTTGGCTTGGAAGGCTGATGAATTAAATTCGAGAGATCAAACAACTTAGCTAACAAACATCCAATATCAATCCACATTTTCAGTAGATCTCAATACGTATGGATTATGCATCCCAATAAACCAACTTAGCCAACAAACTGGGGCATCCCCTTGTAATATATCCCATGGTATCCCCGCAATCCACTTCAACTTTGTTGGTTTCCGATGTTTTTGTTGATGACATCACATATATCACCATGTGTAGTTCCTGTTCACCCCCCGGCGCCTTCACAAAGATATCGCTGCTGCCCACCGCCGCCGCAACGCCGGGCCCCTTCCGCCGGCGCCGCACGGGGGCGGCGGCTTGCACCGCACCGTCGGCCGGCTGCGAAGCCGCAGCGACCTGGACTTTTCCAGGGGCCAGTGGTGATCTTCCATAGCTATGCTAAATTACCAGAGGGTATCTGGAAAATGTTGGAAACATATTCGTGATTGACGCAAATTGTGAGTTTCACCAGGAGGGATGGTGACGAATAGGGTATTAAGTCATCAAATATATGGAAAAGGTGGAAGTATATGGGGAATAGTGATTATTTGAGAATTGTGGTTTTCGTTCCGGGAAAAAATCAAAGTGAGCAGTTGCTGCTAAACCTCTGTTGATTCGCCATTTTTATTGTAATTTACACATGATTTAAGCATGATTTGATGATGATGTCAGTGGCTGCTAAACTTTCGATGGAAGAGGGTTCAAAATGGGTTCTCCCTTAAACCCCATTAAGCCACTGCTTTTTGGGACTATTAAACCATCCCGATCCCGTATCTGCTGGACATACTTAGCTAAATGCCATTCAATCCCATTGGATATTATTAAGATTCCCTATGGTTATTTGTTAGTCTCCAAAATCCATGTGGTACCCCCAAATCATCCAAGTCATTGAGAGCATTTCAGCATTGAAACCCATGAATGGTTTTGCGATGTCTTGGGGATCCTCAAATCTTAAGAACCTCCTCCATATCATCCGTATTAGGCACCCCAAACAAGATGGCATTATGGATGTTTATTTCCTCATTCATATGACAATTTCATAGGTAACTTGACCCATCCCCATATCATCCATGTCATCCCTTTATTGGAAATAGCATATGGGGATATCAAATATCTAGAATTTCGATCGTACATGGAATAATTCCCATAGTACATACTCCATCGTTACGGTGATATTACAATAAGGCACAATATCATCGAAGGAAGTTTAGAAGTCAAACTTCTGACAATATGAACAGATGGAAAAGCAGATGTGGGAAGAGTCAGAGAAGAGAAGAGAAGAGAAGAGAAGAGAAGAAGACAGAAGATCACAGAAGAGAAAGAGTCAGAAGAAAGAAGATGCAGGTGCGCGAAAAGGTAGGAAAGTCGCGAAACACTGTGTTTTTCCTATGATTTGTGGCTCCGGAGGGTCGAAAAGTAGGCTCGCTAAAGCGGCGGGTGCGGAGCCATGTGGCCAGATGCGAGATGAAGAATTGCACGCCGTTGTGGCGCGAAGTGCGTTTCCAAGTCAAAAGTAGCGGAGCTTCATCTTGTAGCTGAACGTCAGGGTAGCGGAGCCCTAGTCTCTTCCAAGACTTCGCTTTCTCTGAGCCAGTTGAGCCTCTTCTGGATGTAGAGGTTCAGACCCTCGAAAAGCTGTGTACACCTTTGGCTTGTCAGATAATATATTATAGATATCACTATCTAACGTTATCTAGTGATTATAGCATCTAAGAAAATCTATTACCATTATCTAATATTATAGCTACATTAATACTACCTATCTATAGTGGAAGATATCTATTTTTTTGCATACCAAGGTAGAATATCTATAGATAATAGATGGTAATAATACTATTTACTGACTGTGGAATGTCCTACCTTTCCCCTGGCGCCTTGGCTTTCGCCTCCTCCAGCTGCGTCCACGTCTTCTCCCGCGGCGCCACCCGCGCGTCGCCGCCGCCCACGCCGGCGCCGCAGGAGGCGGCGAGGCTGGCGACGTCCACCACGAAGTTCTCTCCGCCAGGGGCTTTCCTGGGACGAACATGTGGAGAAAACATGGGAAAATGTGGAGAAAACATGGATGAAACCCAATGAAAGATGATGGACCAACATGAAAAACATGGAGTTCAAAGATGATTGAACCAGGAAAAATGATGGACTAAACCAAAGCTGGTGGTTCAACAGAGGAAAATGCTGGCTTTATGAAGCTTTTGTGGAGGTTCAATTTGATTTCACCAGCCAACATGACGGACTAAACGTGACAAAACCAACAAACATGGTGACGTTAATAGGGTAATGCTGATTTAACCAGCAAACATCCCAGGTTTTCAAGAAAACGTGCAGAAACTTGCGCAAGGCCGCGAGGATGGTGGTTGCCAGCATGACATCATCGAAACTCACGCCTCCAAAGAGGCGGCGAATCCGTGCGCGTGTGACGCTTGCTCGAAATGTTGGTGCGCCGGGAGTCATTGGTATCATCTGGACTGTGCTGGGAGTCTGCTTGGAAGTGGACAAGTTTGCCCAACACGGTGACGCCGGGGTTCAAAGTAGTACGGAAATGCCGTGGCCACAAATTTGGACGGGAATCTCGTTCAGAACTTGATCGCTCGCTTGGCCCTTGAAGAATAGCATCCTTTCGTTCATTGGTGAAGAATATCTCTAGTTTAAGAAGATCAATAGTCTTGCAACCTTTGACTGGAGATACCCTTGATAAGGAGTATGCTGCGCGCGAGTCTAAGATCTTTAAACAACATCAATGTCAAGGGTTGATCCTGAATGTTGCAAACCAGCATAACTGACTTCGGAACAGGATGGAGGTGATACACCGAAAACCAGCCATTTTAAAGAGGAAAACCATCTGAACCAAACCGTTTTTTTCTTAGATTTCTGGGCAGCACCCAGGGGCTTTCCCATGATAACTGGTAGGGCAAGACATTCATCATGTCCATACCCATCTTTTAGCATGGGTGCCTAAAAAAATACCCCCCACCCAAAACGGATGATTAACTCCAAAACATACAGTTTGGTGCGTCCAAAACGGCACCCCATTTCTTGAACAACAATCCCATGGATTGAATCATGTTCCAAACACTTCTTGAACAAGAATTCCATGGCTTTTCATTTTTTGAACCTTCATTCTTGTTGATTCCTTAATCTCATTTAATGACTGCTAAGTCTCAATCTATCGTAAATAACACACATATAAACCCATCATTCACACGTGTCACCATCATTATTTGGGCCTGCCTTACAATGGGGATGCCCTCCAATTTTAAGCAAGTTCATGGGGCGTCTCATCATGAAGCATGAGATCTTAAGGCACCCGTTTTCAAACAAACCCATTTTGAGGAATTCATACGAGGGTTGCATCTAAGCTGGTAAGTGGTTTGTGTGGGGCAAATCCTTTCTTGTAAAAAGGCTTCTTTCATATCTGGGACCATGTTCAACCCCCTAGCTAGAATTCAAATATTGACGTTCTATCCATTTTAGGTCTTCCTCTTTCTGATTTTCCTTTTCTTATCCAAGTTTTCCTGGAAAAATGGTGCGCTTTTGAAAGGAGCGATGTCTGCGACATCAAATCCCATGGCTCCACATCGCTGCCTCCATTCACCACGTGATAGCATCCAAGTAGGGTGAACACCTTGAATCCCATGGTTTATAAGTTTATCATAGTTTTCCCGATGCAAAAAGACATTTCAGGGATATACCACCATTTTCAGACATGCCCATATTCCCATTTCTTCTTGGTAGAATCCCATCAGAATCCATTAAATCACTAGAAAGTCCAAATAAATCATCATATTGTTGCTGATATATCCCGCTTTATCCACATTATATTGAGATTCAATTACGGTTTCTCACTCCAATAACATTTGGCTTTAGGATACATATCTCTAAAGTATTCATGGGGTTTAAAGCCCAACAAACACATCTTAAGGGGCACCGCCTTGCGTTGGAATTTCCAGAAGCAATCACCACATTGTTGGTGATATATCCCACTAGATCCATATGGCATGGAACTTAAAAATAACATTTTTCTTAGTGTTACCCAAGATTTAGTGGGAAAATTTTAGGGGCAGACCCCATTTTCAGACTTACCCATATTCCCTTGTTGGTACCCACAACATTGCCATCTTTCCCGTAGCTAGCCATCTTTCCTCGACGCCAGGCATCAACCAATGGGTCTGGCCACCCACTTCGATGACTAAGACGAAGGTGATCTTCTCCGGGATCTGAACTGCTTTGTGGGACTTGATAGGAATGGATTACCCTCTGGTAAACTAACATAACTATGGAAAATCACCATTTTTAATGGGAAAATCCATTATAAATGGCCATTTTCAATAGCTATGTTAAATTACCAGCGGGTAGATTATATTCATAGTTAGGATCCCAATCCCAACCAATTTGTGTTGAACTTTTCTGTTTTTTTTTGAAGATTAACCATATCTGAGTGAAGAACCTATTTATTATTGGATTGGCAGGGAACATCTACAGCGAAAACCCATGGAGTTTTAACCAAATCCAAGGAGTTCATGGTGAGAACGTGATGATTTAATGGGGTGTCAGGGTGATTTCACCCAGAGAAATAGGGATTGATCTGCGATTTAAGCAACAAACATCGTTATTTAACGGGGTTTGCATCCATAATAGGGGAGTTAGTCAAACTTATGGCTCAGCCAACCTGATGAACGGGTAGCTTAACTATCACAATTACAAGCATTAAAAGAAAGTGGTGGTGGCTTAAGCAGCAAAAATGGGGATCAGCGCAAACGGAGGAGAAGACAAGTTCCCTGTTTTCTTGGGATAACACATTTGATAACCAGCAAAGTTATACTGTGGAAAACTGACCGTTTCCTTAACTATGGGGAGAGGCATTGGAATTCTGTCTCCATTGTACACATATGTATGCAATATCAAATCTGTAAAAAAATATATACATATATTCTACATCTACCCAAATTTGAATCATAAAATGTATCTATGATACGTATTTGTAGAGAGTACATGTGCGGGTTTGTGCTACAATGGGCCACTTATGCTCTGCAGCCCAGGAAGGAGAAAAAACCATTGGTGAGCCTCTGGTAAACTAACAGTTTGCTATGGAACATGGCCATAGAAATAGGTGAAATAGTCGATTTACCGAACTTAAACATGGTGATTTTCCATAGTTTTGTAAACGTTTACCAGAGGGTAGTCCTATAAGCGAGTTACAAAGCAAAGTGCAAGACGCTGTCCAAGCTTTCGCCAGAGATGGGGTACCACGCCGCCAAATGCAATAGCTGAACTGCTGATGGCCTAATTTGTTGATTGCAAATCCTGTTCATATCAGTATCTGGTTGGTGGTTTCAACCCATCTGAAAAATATGAAAGTCAGTTGGGATCACTATTCCCAATATATGGAAAAATAAAAAATGATCCAGACCACCAACCAGGTATTTGTTGTCCAATCCATGAATCATTTCACGAAATCACATTTTTTGATGCAATCCCCAATATATCGGCCATAATCCCCGAGCTAATCAACCAACAGAGGCTTTGACCACTTAAATAGATAAACTAATTAAAAACACATATACACATTATACGGGACTAAAATTATCCCATCATCATTCCAGAATCATCCCATACATTTAACCACTTGATGGTTCAACATTTCCATCAACAAAATACAATATAGGATTATAATCACCTTTTATATTATCATTGTATCATATTATATTTTACATTACACAATACTATATCATATTTTCTAAGATTAAAATCCCATAGATGATATGTTAGTGATACTACTTGGTGGTTTCAACCCCTCTGAAAAATGATGGAGTTCGTCAGATGGGATCATGACATTCCCAACTGAATGGAAAAATCATGTTCCAAACCACCAACCAGCTATAGTTATAAGTACCATAAACCATAGTTGAGCGCCATGATATTCTAGTGATACATAATCCCAGTACCTACCCCTCTGAAAAATATACGAACGTGTGTGGGGGTTAAAAAACACCAGTAACTATAGTTGTAAGTACCATAAACCATAGTTATTGGAATTATAAACCAGCTTATATAGCCTCATAGATGTAGTGAGTCTACTGTTTATTTCACCATAAACATGATATGTTAGTGATTTTTCCCGAGAGCGTCTGAGCGCAGGGTTCTTCCAATAGTGGGGGTCTGTAAAACATCTTCTCATCTTCACATCTCATCTTCACATCCTCTCATCTTCACATCTCATCTTCACATCCTCTCATCTTCACATCTTTTCATCTTTACATCCTCTCATCTTCACATCCTCTCATCTTCACATCTGCTCATCTTCACATCCTCTCATCTTCACATCTGCTCATCTTCACACCTTCCCATCTTCACATCTGCTCATCTTCACACCTTCCCATCTTCACATCTTCTCATCTTTACATCTGCTCATCTTCACATCTGCTCATCTTCACATCTGCTCATCTTCACATCTGCTCATCTTCACATCTGCTCATCTTCACATCTGCTCATCTTCACATCTTCTCATCTTCACATCTTCTCATCTTCACATCTGCTCATCTTCACATCTGCTCATCTTCACATCTTCTTATCTTCACATCTTCTCATCTTCACATCTGCTCATCTTCACATCTGCTCATCTTCACATCTGCTCATCTTCACATATGCTCATCTTCTCATCTTCTTATCTTCACATCTTCTCATCTTCACATCTGCTCATCTTCACATCTGTTCATCTTCACATCTGCTCATCTTCACATCTTCTTATCTTCACACCTGCTCATCTTCACATCTGCTCATCTTCACATCTGCTCATCTTCACACCTTCCCATCTTCTCATCTTCACATCTGCTCATCTTCACATCTGCTCATCTTCACATCTGCTCATGTTCACATCTGCTCATCTTCACATCTGTTCATCTTCACACCTGCTCACCTTCTCTCTCATGCCTTCTTTTTATCTTTCTCTCTTAAGGCCGAGGGTGGTGCCGGCGGCGAGTCACGAAACGTCAACCCTTTCGCACGAAATGAGGGTCGATCGGCAAAAACTGAGGTAAAATTGCGATTTGACTTGTCCCGGGGCAACCCTTTCGCACGAAATGAGGGTCGATCGGCAAAAACTGAGGTAAAATTGCGATTTGACTTGCCCTGGAGCAACCCTTTCGCACGAAATGAGGGTCGATCGGCAAAAACTGAGGTAAAATTAATTGCGATTTGACTTGCCCTGGAGCAACCCTTTCGCACGAAATGAGGGTCGATCGGCAAAAACTGAGGTAAAATTGCGATTTGACTTGCCCCGGAGCAACCGTTTCGCACGAAATGAGGGTCGATCGGCAAAAACTGAGGTAAAATTGCGATTTGACTTGCCCCGGAGCAACCCTTTCGCACGAAATGAGGGTCGATCGGCAAAAACTGGGGTAAAATTGCGATTTGACTTGTCCTGGAGCAACCCTTTCGCACGAAATGAGGGTCGATCGGCAAAAACTGAGGTAAAATTGCGATTTTACTTGTGCCGGAGCAACCCTTTCGCACGAAATGAGGGCCGATCGGCAAAAACTGAGGTAAAATTGCGATTTTACTTGCCCCGGAGCAACCCTTTTGCACGAAATGAAGGTCGATCGGCAAAAACTGACGTAAAATTGCGATTTTACTTGTGCCGGAGCAACCTTTTGCACGAAATGAAGGTCGATCGGCAAAAACTGAGGTAAAATTGCGATTTTACTTGCCCCGGAGCAACCCTTTCGCACGAAATGATGGTCGATCGGTAGAAACTGAGGTAAAATTGCGATTTTTCCTGTGCCGGAGCAACCCTTTCGTCTGTGTGTAAAAGCGTCTGTGTGTAAAAGCGTCTGTGTGTAAAAGCTTCTGTGTGTAAAAGTGTCTCTGTGTGTAAAAGTCTCTGTGTGTAAAAGCGTCTGTGTGTAAAAAGCGTCTGTGTGTAAAAAGCGTCTGTGTGTAAAAGCGTCTGTGTGTAAAAAGCGTCTGTGTGTAAAAAGCGTCTGTGTGTAAAAGCGTCTGTGTGTAAAAGCTTCTGTGTGTAAAAGCGTCTCTGTGTGTAAAAGTCTCTGTGTGTAAAAGCGTCTGTGTGTAAAAAGCGTCTGTTTGTAAAAAGCGTCTGTGTGTAAAAGCGTCTGTGTGTAAATGTGTTTGTGTGTCAAAGCGTCTGTGTGTAAAAAGTGTCTGTGTGTCAAAGCGTCTGTGTGTAAAAAGTGTCTGTGTGTAAAAAGCGTCTGTGTGTAAAAGTGTTCGTATGTAAAAGCTTCTGTGTGTAAAAGCTTCTGTATGTAAAAGCTTCTGTGTGTAAAAGCTTCTGTGGGTAAAAGCTTTGTGTGTAAAAGCGTCAGTGTAAAAGCGTCTGTGTGTAAAAGTGTTTGCGATGCAAACTATTGTCTTGCACTTCTCACTATTTTGTCTTGATACTCCTCTTCTCGACTGCCTATAACACAGCTTTCATATACCGTTTCTAAAATTGCATCTCCATACTAACAAGAGAAGACCCTGCTCCTCTACGCTCTCGGGCCATCCGTCGTCTAGTGATTTTTCTTATCCCAGTAAATAATCCAGTATTATAGGTATACTATCTATCTGCTATAGGTATAATCCCAGTATATCGCAGTTTTCAACCTCACTTTTTCACCTCGCCGCCGCGGAAGGTCATGGTCACGTTGCCGTCCCCGTTGAGGTGGGCGCTGGAGGCGGTGCCGTCGCAGTCCTGGCCCGAACGGCTCGGACAATGCGAGCGAGAAATGGCGATTTGAGATGATCAAACATGGGGATGAATGGTGATTTTTGCATGTTTTTATGGTGATTTAAATTGATAAGTCTTGGATGTCAACAGTTGAAATGGTGATGTGATGGACTTGAGTGGTGGTTCAATGAGATTTTGTAGTGATTTCATGGAACTTAACACGAAAACAATGAGGGGGATATAGTGGAATAACGAGCATGGTGAATTTAGAGTGATTTAAATTGGGATCAAAGCAGAAAAGATAGCTGCTTTATCCTTTTGAGACCACAAAAAAGGTGATGCAGATGGGATTTGACCAACACAGTTATCAATATGATGAAGTGTTTTAACTACGAAATGCTGTATCATGGGGTTGAGCCAAACATGATCTCGGGGCACGATCGGGAAGCAGGGATGTACTGCGTCTCATGTTGTGGGATATATTAGATGCCCCCACCCCCCACCGCAGCGGCAACTAGTCTTGAAACCACTGACCGAGTTTGCTTTGACGTGCCCGGCGAACCAATGTGCCAAACCCAAGGAAAAAACCGGGGTACCTAAAAGCGCCATCGACAAAAACCATTTTACACCATAACTTTGATACTTTCATCAGTTTTTTGGGTACTTTGAATGTCTTGGTGTTACTTCGAAACCCACAAAACACTTAGATTGGTCCCAAAACATGCTGTGTACAGATGACTAAACCCGCACCATTTTCGTTGACAAGATTGTGTTAACTCCTTCCACGACGAATCTCGCATGGAGACAATCGTAACAGCCGATTTCTTCATCGGTGCTCCTTCCCCGCTGCTTTGTTCTACACGTCACATGTCTTTCATATTGTGTAGAAAAAACAATCTGCAAACATTTTTTTGAATCTGGATTCATGTCGATGGATTTAGACCGAGTTGTTGCGTATTATTGGGTCAACGATATCTATAAATAGTGAAACTGGTCTTGAACTGCGGAGCAGTCACCACCAAAGTTTGGAAGACCCCATGCAACCAGTGATCCATCGGCCAAGATCGCGGCAAATGCACCTTCTGTGGACTGAATTTGCTGCGCATTCCTGAGCTGATCTTGAACTGCAGAGCAGTCGCCACCCCAGTCTGGAAGGCCCCAGGTAACCACAGATCTATCCTCCAAAATGGCAGCAAATGCGCCACCTCTTGTGGACTGAAGTTGCCGCACATTCCTCAGCTGATCTTGAATTGTGGAACAGTCACCACCGCAGCCTGGATTGCCCCAAGCAACCACAGACCCATCGGCCAAGATCGCAGCAAATGCCGAATCCGTGGCTTGAATCTGTTGCACATTCTTGAGCTGATCCTGAACTGCAAAGCATTGACCACCTTGGTCTGGATCACCCCAGGTAATGACGGATCCATCGGCCAAGATCGCGGCAAATGCACAACCTGTGGACTGAATCTGCTGCACGTTCACCAGCTGATCTTGGACTGACGTGCAGTCACCACCCCACTCTGGATCGCCCCAGGTAACGACAGATCCATCGGTCAAGATCGCGGCAAATGCACAACCTGTGGACTGAATCTGCTGCACGTTCACCAGCTGATCTTGGACTGGCGTGCAGTCACCGCCACACTCTGGATCGCCCCAGGTAACGACAGATCCATCGGTCAAGATCGCGGCAAATGCACAACCTGTGGACTGAATCTGCTGCACGTTCACCAGCTGATCTTGGACTGATGTGCAGTCACCACCACACTCTGGATCGCCCCAGGCAACGACAGATCCATCGGCCAAGATTGCCGCAAAAGCCTCTTCTGTCGCCTGAATTTCCTGCACATCCCTGAGCTGATCTTGAACTGCGGAGCAGTCTGGACGGCCCCAGGTGGCCACAGATCCATCGGCCAAGATGGCCACAAATACATCATATATGCCTTGAACTCGCTGCACATTCTGAAGGCGTTCTTGAACTGCCGAGCAGTCACCACCAAAGATTTGGTCGCCCCAGGTAAGTATCCTGCTACCTCCGCGGCACCATGCAGCAAATGCGTTGCAAGATGCAGCTAGTTGTACTTGCTGCACCACAGCAGTGAGGTGCGCTGCGTCTTTCACTCCCGCAGCTTGCAAAGAATCCTGAGGGTTGGTCAGCAAACGCCCGTCCTCGGTGATGAGTTTCAGTAAGCCCTTTCCGAAAGTTTTCTGGGCCAGAATCTTCAAGTCCCCCACTTTGGAGTGTTTAGGGAGTTGCAGAATTTCACCAGAAGCACTCGGGAACGATACAGTTACTTGAAGCATTGGAAGAAGCGCAAAACCAAACTTCTACTCACAATACTCTCAAAATGTCTCCTTGAGGCAACATTTTGAGCCACATGTGCCACAGTCCAAGCTGGGCAAGTCATGGAATCAAGCCGCCAAGAGCCCTTGCGATGACTATCTCTTGTGATTTTAAGCTTTCATTTCCAACCATGACATCGACATGTTTGAAGGTGACTTCCGAAAAAAGTTACCTAAATGATACCAACATTTTTGACTGCACAAAGTCCACATTTCTTGTGAAATCCTCAGGTTGAACTGGAAGAGTGGCTGCGAAACTTCATGAAGGGCCAAAAAAGGGGATGGGCCAGCGAAATCCTGCAGTTGATGGTTTTTCCCATTTGAATCCCATTATGGTCCCAGTGTTTCGTAGGTACCTTTCATAGTTCCTCTGCAGGGTTTCACAACCACAGTATGTAGGGTACCAAGGGACTTTTTACCAAAACTCACCAGCTGACTTGTAAAAACCCAGTCTTTCAAGAGATACCCAGTTCGTGGAGAAATGCCTACAATAAACCCAACTAATTGGCCTAGTCATGGAGCAATTTAGCTATGAAGCGGAGGAACCAACTCTTAGATACAAGCTGAGCAAATGCAACTCAGTTTCTGGTGAAACTATATTCAAATCCCCACTTGACGATCGCAAGCGGCGGTATATTGCGATATATCTGGTAATTTCACATCGCTATGGACAATGGTCATTGCTGATAGGTAAATCATCTATAACGTTGCTGTTTTCCATAGCTATCTTATATTACCGGAGATGGTAAAATCATTTTACCAAGCTATGGAAAGATATGGTATATCCAAGATAGCTATGGAAAATGATTACCAAGCTATGGAAAGATATGGTACCAGTAGTACCGCACAAGGCGGTGGCGGAAGTTTCAAAAATAGGAAACCTATAGGAGAGGTTGGTTGTTGTGAATCAGGGATGTCAGAGCGAAGCCACTGATGGACCGAAAGGTGCTTGAGGTCTCCTTTCTTTCGCTCTCTTTCTCTGACTATCTACCTACCTACCTATCTATTTTCTATGTATCTATCTATCTATCGATCTATCTATCTATCTCTCTCTTTCTTTCATTCAATTACCCTATCTATCTATCTATCTAACTATCTATCTATCTATCTATCTCTCTTTCATCTGTCTATCTGTCTAGCTGTCTACCTGTCTATCTATCTATCTATCTATCTCTCTCTCTCTCTCTCTTTCATCGGTCTATCTGTCTAGCTGTCTAGCTGTCTACCTGTCTATCTATCTATCTGTCTGTCTGTCTGTCTACCTATCTATCTATGGTGCACCTACCTACCTGCCTACCAATCTATCTATCTATCTATCTATGTATCTATCTATCTATCTATCTATCTCTCTTTCATCTGTCTATCTGTCTACCTGTCTACCTGTCTATCTATCTATCTATCTATCTCTCTCTCTCTTTCTCTCTTTCATCGGTCTATCTGTCTAGCTGTCTAGCTGTCTACCTGTCTATCTATCTATCTATCTGTCTGTCTGTCTACCTATCTATCTATGGTGCACCTACCTACCTGCCTACCAATCTATCTATCTATCTATGTATCTATCTATCTATCGATCTCTCTCTCTCTCTTTCATCTGTCTATCTGTCTAGCTGTCTACCTGTCTATCTGTCTATCTATCTATCTGTTTGTCTGTCGGTCTATCCGTCTACCTGTCTATCTAGGGTGCAGTGTCATTCAGTCTAATGTACTGTAGTGTACTGTAGTGTAGTGTAGTGGAATGTAGTGGAAGGTAGTGTAGTGCAGTGTAATGTAGTGTAGTGTAATTTAGTGTAGTGTAAATTGGTGTCGGGGAGGGTAACGGAATGTAGTTGTAGTTGTAGTTGTAGTGTAATGTAGTGAAGTGTAGCGGAAGGTAGTGTAGTGTAGTGTAATGCAGCGTAGTGGAGTGTAGTGTAGTGTAGTGCAGTGTAATTTAGTGCAGTGGAGTGTAGTGTAGTGTAGTTGTGTAGTTGTATTGTAGTGTAGTGGGATGTAGTGTAGTGTAATGTCGTGTAGTGGTGCGTAGTGGAGTGTAGTGGAGTGTAGTGAAATGTAGTTGTGTAGTTGTAGTTGTACTGTTGTGGAGTGTAGTGTAGTGTAATGTAGTGAAGTGTAGTGGGAGCAGTGTAATGCAGTGTAATGTAGTGTAGTGTAGTGGAGTGTAATGTAATGTAATGTAGTGTAATTGAGTGTAATTGAGTGCAGTGTAGTGTAGTCGAGTGTAGTTGTGTATTTGCAGTTGTAGTTGTAGTCTAGTGGAGGGTAGTGTAGTGTAATGTAGTGAAGTGTAGTGGAAGATGGTGTAATGTAGTGCAGTGGTGTCTATCTGTGTACCTGTCTATCTATCTATCAATCTATCTATCCATCCGAATCCATCATGCGGTCAGAAAAGACACACACGCTGGCCTGCAACGAATTCTTCGGCATGCAATGAATTACGGATGCGGCAGTGCGATCGGATGCAATGAAGGACGGCTGCTGATACGCCATCGTGCGGTCAGAAAAGACACACACCCTGGCCTGCAAACGAATTCTTCGGCATGCAATAATTACGGATGCGGTACTCAACCCGCACTAACCCGTGAGTTTTGCCAGGAAAAAACACGCATCAGCATGCGAACTTGCTCCAGCATAGAATTCAAAACAACAATCAGACTTCAAAAATTATCAGGTTTTGGAAAGCCTCG